TATAGCGTGTGTGAAAGTGAAATGCATGACAAGAGTACAAATACAAAGGATGGGAGGGAGGATCTGAAAGTGGACTATCATTTCAGGTATTTAAACTACATTTGAAGTGGCGTCATGTTATTTGAAAGGAGATGCTGATTCGCTAAATGTATGTTCTAAACACTAGTGTAATCACTGCAAGCCTTTTTAAAGATATATAAATAATAAGCCAACAGTAAAGATAAAATAAGTCAGGCAGAGAAGGACAAATATCATATGTTTGCACGTATAGGAGGATTAGGAGGAACTTGACGGAGGAACAAGGGGGAGAAGAAGGGCGGAAATGGTGGGGGAAAGGGAGAGAGGCAAACCATGAGAGACTCTTGAATGCTGACAAAAACTGAGGACTGATGGATGTGGGGGGGAGGGGGGGATGGGCATGGAGGAGGGCACTTTGGGGATGAGCACTGAGTGTTATGTAGAAACTAATTTGACAATAAACTATTTGTAAAAAAAAAAAATAAAAAAATAAAAGACGGTTTTAAAAATTTAAAAAAATAATAATAAAATAAAATAGGATGGATAGCAGTAAAAATATTTTCGATTTTTTTTCATTATAAGAACCTTCATGGTGAAAATTTAAAAATACGGTAAAATATATTAGCAATGCAATAAATATTTTTCAAAATTAAAAAAAAAATAGACTCATTTAAAAAATACACAGTGGGGCATCTGGGTGGCTCAGTCGGTTGAGCGTTGGACTTTAGCTCAGGTCATGATCTCAAGGTTCGTGAATTCAAGCCCCACATCAGGCTTGCTGCTATCAGCCTGTCAGCACAGGACCACTTTGGATCCTCTGTCCCCCTCTCTCTGCCCCCACCTCGCTTGTGCTCTCCCAAAAATAAATAAATATTTTTAAAAAATACTCAGGGGGCACCTGAGTGGCTCAGCGGGTTAAGCATCTGACTTCAGCTCAGGTCATGATCTCACAGTCCGTGAGTTCGAGCCCGGTGACAGGCTCTGTTCTGACAGCTCGGAGCCTGGAGCCTGCTTCAGGTTCTGTGTCTCCCTCTCTCTCTGCCCCTTCCACACTCATGCTTTGTCTCTCTCTGTCTCTCAAAAATAAATAAATGTTAAAAATAAAAAATAAGATACTCAGTAATTTCAAACGAATACAAAGTAAGGGGACAAAAGGTAAAGACAGATGAAACAAACAGAAAATAGCAAGATGGTGCATATTAATCATACCATATCAAATAATTAAAGTACCTATAAACCATCTAAACATGCAAACTAAGAGGCAGAGATTATTGAACTGGGTAAGAAAACAAAGCCCACTTGTATGTTTTCCATACTTTTATATGGAAAGACATGGAAAGAGAGGATGGAAAAAGATATAGCATGCAAACACAAATTTCAAAAATGTTGGTGTAGCTACGTTAATGTCAGAAAAAGTAGCCTTTAGAATGAACTGCACTACCAGAGGTAAAAGGAAGCCTTACATGATAAAAGGGTCAAGTCTCCAGGAAGACGTAAGAGTCCTTAATGTTAATGTGCCTAAACATAGAACTTGCAAGTACATACAATAAAAATGGGCAGAACTATAAAGGGAAATAGGCAAATCCACAGTTAGGATAGGAGTGTTCAACACTCCTCTCCCAGTAACTGCGAGAACGAGTGCTCAGGAAATGAGTCGAGGTAGAGGAGAGCTGAGCACCATCAGACAATTTAACCCCATCGACGTTTACTAGAACCTCCCATAAAGTTTGGCTTACAAAGCAAAGGCATCTTTAATATATAGGTATATCAGAAATTGGAATAAGCAATCCCACCAGGTAATAAGTTCTCTACTGGGGGAAGGTGTTAGAAGACAGCTTGATGTTTGCACCAAGATTTTATAAATAGGAGAGTAGCTTTCCAACTTTTAAAGCTAGAGAACCATTATTCAGTTAAGCCATGGGGAGAAGCAGAAAATGGTAACAGATAAAAGGAGAACCTTTTTCTCCTTTTAGGGGAACAAAATCCCTATTGATGTATCCTCAGACTTTATAGGGAGCCTGCGGTACCACTCAGAGATGTCTAGACCACCACTACACATGGTTTTGAACCACCAGATAAGGGGGTTTGGCTCGGACGTGACCCCTAAAATACTTTCCAACCCAGACTGGCAACTATCATTTGCCATGCCCTGACTCTTAAAACTTCTGTAGTTCTTGTTCAATAAGTCAGGGTGGGCTCTGGAGTAAGTCTGCCTGTGTCTAAGCTCCTCTCTATAATTTAAAAACCTTATGATCTAAGGCAACTTCCATAACTCTTCAACCTTGATCAGGAAAATGGGGATACTAATAGCATCTACCACAAAAGATTGTTTCAGTGAATATTTGTGAAGCATTTAGAACAGTATCTGACAGGGGCGCCTGGGTGGCTCAGTCGGTTAAGCATCTGACTTCAGCTCAGGTCATGATCTCACAGTTCGTGGGTTTAAGACCTATGTCAGGCTCTGTGCCCGGACAGCTATCTCAGAGCCTGAAGTCTGTTTCAGATTCTGTGCCTCCCTCTCTCTGACCATCTCCTGCTCATGCTGTCTCTCTCTTTCTCTCAGAAATAAATGAAAAATATTTTTTAAAAATTTTAGAACAGTATCTGACACACACATAATAAATGTTAGCTGTTATTTTTTCCAGCAACACTTTGTTTGTTTTTGCTATTGTTTAAAACATATTATTTTACAGACAACATGGAAATATTGTCTCGTTTCATAGATGAATAGCATCTTATCCCCAAACATGAAAGAGGAAAAGTCTCCTAAACTCTGAAAGGGGAAATTACATCAGTTTAATATCATAAATGATGTTTCATCAAAATATGAACAGAACGGATCAACTTGAAGTGACCCGAACCAGGCAGACACAGGAGCCACACAGGTGGAGAGGATGGAAAGTTCTCATAACTTTAGTACAATCAAATACAACTTTAGAGGACTTTTTTCTCAATGAGAAAAACTCCACATCGACTCTCTCCTCCCTCCTACCAGCCAAGCTTGCCTACTGGAGTCCCGGTGTATATTTCTTGACCTAAGTTTAGAAATTCAACTTGCAGCCTTCACGCCCCATAGTTGAGGTGAATGTGACCATTTAAATAGCTGCCAAGTGCAGACATCCAGCACCTCTTTTGAAGACAATATCCGATCTCGAGGAAAGTACGGAAACACTGAAACCACGCACTTGAGCCAGAACTATCCCTCCCCCCAGTGCCCTCACACACTGTATTTTAGCTAGATAATATTTCACGAAACTTAAATATTACATCATGCTAAAATGTCCTTCTTAGGATAACTCTGGCACAAAAATAGGTATTCAGTATTCCATAGTGATTGTCTCCCAAAAAAGCAGTTTGTAGTTGACATTTTCTGGATTGGGCCACTTAAATTTGCTTCCTCCCAGTGCGAGGAAACCAGAGGAGTGGGCTGGGGAGTCCCAGAGTCAGGCTCTGGCGAGGAGGGCCTGAGTCGGAGGATCAGGGGTGCGTCATGGAAAAAGCATACAGTGTGGCTTGTGTGGTTCTCAGTCAAGGCCGTCTGCTAGTTCCCTCAGTGGCTTCAGCAAGGACCACAGAAGATATGTGACAGTCATAACCCAGGCCCCAGCTTCTGGTCACAGCCCATCGCTGGACCGACGACTAGACATCAGCACCTTTTGCGGGTTGCAAAGAGCAAGGGCTTTGGGCCTAGGTGGATGGTACTTCAAGTTTAGTCCTGCCAGTTAGTAACTCTGTAATCAGAGGCAACCTAACCGCAAGCCTTTCACTTTGTCATCTTATTCCTCCCACTCTCATTGACTGAACTAGTACTATGTATATGTTTTCTTCCTAGTTCTCTTTGTACAAAGTTAGTATTGAATATTAAAAATTACACAGCTAAAGGATGCAAATAAATCACTTGGTAGTAAATTGAAGGATACCTCAGAAATTAATCTTGCCTAATTTGTCTCTGGATCCAAGGTCTAAAACTGTACTTTCAGAATACTTTCTGTGTTTCCATATTCCTTTATGTTATAACAACCTGGACAGAATTAGTACCAATAACTATTTACCGATAAAAACATAGTGATCATACAAATTGTGATAACAGCCTAACGGGAATCATGATGTTCTTTGTGGGACCTGATCAATTGTGGGCACATCTATTCAGAACAAATCAGAAATAGGGTTCTTTTATGCAGATTGTAGTTCTTTGCATCTCCCAACCTAGCACCATATCTGCATTTTTCCATTTATTACACTTATGACCATCCATTCATTTGGATACATACCTGCTAACAGGAAAGTCAAGGAAGGCTTTTAAAAAAAGGTAAGGAAGAAAAATTTTAAATGGAAATAAAATCTTTGTTCTCTTTTCTGTGAACTAGGGAAAGATCATACTGATTAAGTACAGCCAAGGACCACTCAAAGTAACTTTTCAAGTAAGGTGCTCTACACGGACTGAGTTTGGGAATCACCATTGGATGGATCTAAATCAAGCAGTTTCTAGAATTTGGCAACAGCGAATGTGTCTTGTTTGTGAAGTTACATAGTTGAAACCTAAAAAAAAAAAAAAGATTATGCATTTTGTAGTTCCCCCCCCCCCTTTTAAAGTAACCATTTCTTGTCCTTCAGGCCTCTCTCCAAACAATCCATTTGGCCAGTCACTACCCTCTGCCCCTCCCTCATTATTCAAGGCCCTCAATAATAGACTTAAACTGCAAACCTCCATCTCTCATGGTATTCTGCTTTCAAACCTTTATGAAAAAATGCAGCTTTTACAATATTACCTGGGGTTAGTTGGGATAACTCACTGCATGTCTTATCCCAATTGGCTTATGTGTGCAGGTTGCTGAGATTTTAGGAAAGATATTTTAATAGGCCAATAATCTTTAACAGGCATCCTAGGAGACCAGGCATTCTCCAGAAGTTCCCTGTGCTCACTCTCCTATGCATGCAGTTTAAAACATGCTATGCTTTCTACTTGTCATGTCCCAACTTACCTGCACTGGCTGGTAAACGCCTCACATCCCCCACAACTTGGTTCAAGCAACATTTCTCTGCGATCTTCCTTTCTTCATGTTTGTTGGTGATGTCTCTGAACTGCTTTGTCTGTGACTTCTGTGGTAGGCAGAGTAACAGTCCTCCAAAGAAAGTCAAGCTGTAAACCCGAGAAACTATCAATATATTCACTTCCATGTCAAAAGGCAGGTGTAGAGGCAATTAAATGCTGGGTCTTGAGATGGAGAAGTTGTCCTGGATTACCCAGTGGGCTGAACGCCATCACATGAGCTTTATGAGGGAAGGAGAAAGGGAAGAGAGTGTCAGAGATGATGGGGGCAGTTAGGATGAGGCACTGAAGCAGAGGAAGGGATCACCCAGAGCCAATGACTGCAGGCAGCTTCCAGAAACTAGAAAAGCCAAGGAAACACATTCTTCCCTAGAGCCTCCAGAAGGAACACAGCTCTGCCAATACCTTGATTTTAGCCCAGTGAGACTCATTGCAGATTTCTGATCTCCAGAACTGTACATAATAAATACGTGCTGTCTTAAGCAAAGTTTGTGATAATTTGTTACAGCACCGTTAGAAAACTAACACAACTTCCAAAAGACTGTCTTGGTGAATAAGACATCAGTTTAAGTTTTTTTCCTCTTGCTCCATTGTCAATTTGCCTATAAATTCTAAGTCTGGGGAAAATAAGGGCTCAGTAAATTAATGATGATTGACAAATAAATAAATGCCCGGATGATTCACTGGACATTTCTTGCAAGCATTTCATCAAGGATAGGATAATACAGTAGACAGAGCTACAGACTCAGGTCAGAAGCCAGCATTCATGTTAGCTCCTCCACCTGGGTGGAGATGAATCCCTTCACCTCTCTGATCTCAGCTTCTTTGCCTGCAAAAAGAAACCAAGATTTTTTTTTTTTTTTTTTTGGTCCCCAAGCTAATTCTCAGTCATAAGATTATGTGACCATATGCCAGGAAATTTTTGGAAGACATGTCTGAACTGGGTCAGGGGTTGGACTGATGACCTTACAGGTCTCATCCAGCTCAAAGATTCAATGACACAGACACAGCAGGGCACATCTTGTGTAGAAAGTAACTCGAAGACCACTGATTTTTCAGAGCCTCCTGGGGGGGAGGGGAAGTCCTCTGAGAGCAAACAAAGGCACCAGTAGCTTTAGGTCAAACCCTGCTTCTGATTCAGGCCAAAGGCAACTTGAATGCCACAAAGAACATCAAAGGGCAGAATCTGGCCCTGGAACAAGACGGATGGAGGGGAAGTCATGATCTGCAGTAAAACAAATAAATAACCTTTAAAATCACATCTGCAGACGGTCTAACATTTTTAAATGCTTTCCAATAAGCCTCCCTGGTAGCTTGCCACAAAGCCTGTCCAAGAGGATTTACAACAGATGGGGGCAGGGGATTGCAGCCCAGCCCTGATGCTGCTCCTAACCGTTTGGGTGACCTTGGGCACATCATTGCACCTCTGTGGCCTGTACATTTCTCTTTTCAAAGTGAGGGGACTGAATTAGATGACTTCTGACCTCCTCCCTGGCTTCAAAATCTTACCACCTTGGCCCTAGCACTATTTATGGATTCTCAAAAGCAAAGTGGTTAGTTTTATTTTAAAAGGCAGACACTTACAGGATTCTGCAAAAGAACTCAAATTTAAATTTAAATCCTAGCCTTGGGAGAAGGAAGGGAAGGGAAGGAAGGAAGAGGAAAATGGGGAGGGTTACATTAGCGAGTATTTATTTTTTCTTCTTAAAACCATTTCCTCATTGTTTCCCGCTGTTGATACAACTGCTCAAAACCATCCATGACCAATGTCCTTTTAAATGACCCCACTCTAGCTAAAGATACATAGGTCAGGCTTAGAGCTGTTGCTCTCTTTCTGGGCTTAGAGGGACCCGCAGGCTTGGGCCTCCCAGGCATGAAACCCAAATCCCAAGATAATTCTTAGGACACTTAATCTTCTTTTGTCCTTGGCTTTTCGGCATAGGAATTCAGCAAGATGGAACCCTGAGCTATCTCCCAGATTCCCCATTTTAGGGTAGGTCTTGAAATCATTTATGATGTCACTGTTTCCACTGCATTTTTTTTCCAGACCCTTTCCTATATAAGCCAAAGTTGTGAGAACAAGAACTTTGAGTTTCTTGAAAAAGGCCCAAGTGAAAATCAAAAAGGGGGCAGGGTTTACATTTACCCGATGTTAAACGGTGTTCTGAGTTTGAACTTGAAGAGGTTGAAAATTTTACTGAGACCTGACTTCTACCTGCTCCCCAGTCACCATACAAATATAGGGACAACTGTGCCCAGAGGCACATTTTGAGGTTCGAGATCCCAGGATATACTTACCAGGAAAGAATGGAAGAAAATTATACAGACAATAAATGTTCAAAGAGCCAGTTATAAATAATTCCATATATTTGCAGATTGCGTCAAAGCAGTATTTTCCAAGGTATGGCATGCACACGTATATAAAATATGCAAAAGAATTTGAAGCAGGACATGTGTGTGATACATTGACTGTTCTTACTGCTTGCTTATGGGCATCCCTGTTCTTAGTGTCCTGTCTCAAGAAGAAAACCTGTGAAGCTTATTGTGAGGAGGACACCTATTCCATTACCTCAATGATCTACCCACTTGCAAATGGGTCCCCTAGCTTACCCTGTAGCAGCGTCACCATGGCAACACCCATCCCTCAAGTCCTACTCAATATTCTTCACCCTACACCCTACACAGTATCCCTCTTTTCATCTGCATCCCTTCCCTTAACTTTCTCAACACTCCTGTGTTCCTAAACCAGCCTTACCTCTCCCTGAGTTTCCCCAGTCCCTCAACCCTGACCCTATACAACCTCCTCAAAAAAAATAAAATAAAATAAAAACCTTTTCCTAAACCCCTGGCTCTTCTTCCTCAGTCCCAGCATCTCCCTAATAGCAGTGCCTCATCCTACCCCTCATTATAAGCCACTGACACCACACTTCTCAGTCTTTACTTCTCTCTACCTCAATCCTCCCTTTCAGGTTAGATTTCTCTTTCAGTGGGTCAACGCACTGCCTCGTGTCTTCCTCTCTTTTCCATCTTCCTACTTTTTGATCCAGCACCTTAGAAAACTCCTGCCTGACCCCGAGACTCACTCCTGTCTATTCTTTTCTAGCATATATATTGGGCAACTCTTATTCTTTGAGCTATGATTCTTCCTAAATTTCCCCCTGTCTTTATTTCCTTTCCATTAATTTCCCTTTACAAATAAATTTATTTAAATTTTTAAAGTAAGTTGACTTAAAGAAAGAATATTTACTAAATATTAAATAATAGCGCATGATAATATGGATATGGCCCAAATTTTTGATGATTTTAAATGAATGGCAACTTGGCAAAGATTACTGTAGCATTACAGGATATTTTCCCACATATTGTTTTTCATTTGTCCTTGTGACATCCAGTAACAGCAGGGAGAATACGAGTAATTAACCCGCTGTTGAGATAAGGAAGCAAAGACTGAGAGAGTTTGGATGAAATGCCTAAGATCAACAGCAAGTCGCTGGTAGATCCAAGACTCAAATGAGAGCCCACCGACTTCAGGTCCCCTGCTCTGTGCACTTCCTGACGGTGACACTCTTCCCTTGCAAATGCACTTAAATATGAATCTTTCTCAATTCAAGATACAAGATGGAGACCTTAGAAAAGGGTATTTGCCAGGAGTAAAATGAAGAGGAATTTTTAAAAATTTATCTCAGGTACTTTGAATGCATGTCAAATTAAGGAAAAGTGTGATCTATAGCCAAGGAAAAGACAACAAATCACCAGAATATAAATAAGGCTCCCTTACAGAAAGTGGCAGAAATATGGAACACAAATTTAACTCAAGGGAAATGATATAAGACTCCTACATTTTCAAATATCAGATGCTTGAAAAGAGAAGTTGCTAAAAGATGGGAAATGCAGGTTCTGAATGGAGTCACTTTCTAGGAATGTCATGGTCACCACATGCCAAGCCCCAACAGATACTAAAACAGCAGGGGGGTGGAGAGAGGGGAATGGGGTGAGCCAGGTATTGACTGGGCTGCAAGCACAGGCCCAGCAGTTGATTTGGACACAGAGGAGAGTGGGCCTGAACAGAAATGGCCTTAGACAAAGCGTGGTGTTAAACCTGAACTTCATGGAGAGTCTTCACGCATCATGATGAAGAGTGCAGGTGACGTAGGCAGAACTGGCCCAGGTTTAAATCTTAGCCCTCTCACCTCTTTTCCAGATATATTAGCAATGTGTCTAACATCTCTGGGTCTCATCTGTTCACTCTTAACACGGTGGCAACAACAGTGCCTGCCTCCTAGAGCAGGTATGAAAACTGTGTGAGACAATCCTCTTAAGAATATGAGCACAGAAGACGTCCAGTTAGCTGCAATAGAGGAATAAGACAATCACCTAAAAAGGGTGAAGACCTAGAATGACATCTGGCTTAAGAACAACATTCAAGACTTCAAGGCAGTGGAATAATATAACCCAGCACCAGAGCAAATATTGTTTCCAACCTAGAATACTACAGCCCTCTAAATTCTCAGTCAAGTGTATGAGGAGATAAAGATATTTTTAGACATTCAAGGTCTCAAAATATTTCCTACCAGACAGCTTTACTCAGAAAGCTTTGGAAGCCATACTCCATCAGAGTAAGGGGAGTCAGACAGGGAAAAGATCCAGAAAATGGGAAATCCAACTTAGCAGAGAAAAAGAGGTAATTCCAAGATGATGCTAAAACGAACTCCAAGTTCACTGTGGTAAGCCAGTGTGGAGAGCAACAAGATGAAACTGAAGCAGGAGACAGAGGAACCCGGGAGGATGCCTACAAAGTGGGGGAGGGGTCAAAAAAAAAAAAACCAAAAAACCTCAACTGACATATTACTTCATGCATTTGACAATAATATTCAGAGTTTCACCACCTGGAAGAGAGTTTGTGGATGCATTTGTGACAGTTGCATGTAACAAATGAAAAAGTAGGGCAATTTTTATCTCCCAAAACACATACCAACATGGAAAAAAGAAAGAAAAAAAGAAAATATCATAATATCACACTATGTGGCTCAGCCATAAGGAATACATCGTCGATACTAATTTAAACACTGAATATTGTTATAGCAGGACAAGGTGGGGCGTGCTCAGTGTATAGATGTATAGAAGAGATTGAACTCCTTATCTTCCAAATAGGAAGCCAAAGACACATATCCAAAAATGTTAAATCAAGCAATTATAATATGAACATGTTATTAGGCAACGA